CACAGTTTTTCATATCATATTATTATTTAAATCAACATAGTTTCATTGAAAATGAATGAATAAGATTTATATTATTTTATCTATGACTATAAAAAATGACTTAAATTATCACAATTTGTTGAACAATATTAGTTAATTTTACAAACAAAAAAACATAACTCAAAACAATAATTTATTTTTTTAAGTTTAATTTTCGTTTTCCCAGAGGAAATTTTCCTAAAAAAACACAATAATAATTAGGATAAAATATATAAGAAGTTTTTCATAAAAATATAATACTATGCAACATTTGATAAAATAAAATATCGAAATAATGTGTGTGTTTGTGCATTTAACCCGAGGTTAGTCAGCATATTTCTATAAGATATTTACAGCGTAATCGTTAACCCGAAGGAGAAAATCAGGTATTGCAGTACGAAAAGCCGACGATAAAATTCTACTAAGAAATGCGTAATATATTTATCCTGCAACTGTTGGCGCTGCAAGAAGTGCAAAAGTATGCGCGCTTTTGTAATTCCAATATCGATAAATTGAATGGAGAGGAAAATCGGCGTTTCCTGTAGAAGGGATTCAATTACGATCTTTCTCCGGTTCTCGTCTCGTTCCTTGCGTAGTATATGAATGGACGATTCGATTCATCCTTCTTCTTTTTTTTTCCTGTAATTACGTGAGCGGTGAATTAAACGCCGCCGACGAAACATTATAATAATGAAAAAATGTACCATTATGATTCCGATCGTTTCGTAAATGGAATTTATTCGGATACTCGACGAATGTGTTTTTCGCCGATTAAAATCGATGATTTTGAACTTGGCTTGGCGGTCGCTTCTCAATATTTATTTATTTGCCATTGACGTAAGCAATTTTGCTGACGAGTTTCTTCTCCCTCACTCTCTCTCTTTTGCCTTGTTTTGCCCTGTTTTTCTTCTTTGTTCGCGTATCTCAATTATTGATTTATGTGCGTACGTTTTTCGTTTGCTATTAAAATTGATGAGACTGTAATTACAAGTAACCTCAATCGAGATATTAAAATAATAAACTACGGTTAATGCATTAACATCAGTGTGAAATTAAATTTTGAAACATACATTTTGCAAGTGATTTACTTTTATTGTAAACATAAAAACATGAGGTTTTATTTAAAGTAGTCTGCGAAATATATAAATCGTCGATTAACATATTTCCTGTGAATGTGCAATCGAATAAACAAAGATAATTGGAAAAAAATGCGTACTTTCTGTAAATCGTGACGGTGAATGAACGGAATGTGTATAAGAATTTATCCTAAATCAATTGCGCAATTCATGTATAATGAAATTCAATGATATATACAGAGTAGTCAACTTATTTGCAAGTCATTTTGAATTACAAAAACTTGAAATTTGCTTGATGAAGTGATGGAAAATATGTTTTTTGTCGTAAAGATCATCAACAGATTTATTTAAGAAACATTTAAATATTGATGTAGTCCCACGACTTATGACACTGTGACCTTAAGAGTATTTTAAACTCAAATGCATTTGCTATTTTTTTAAAAGCTAAGATTAATCTAACATAAATTTGAAAAATGTTTACATAACACAAATCACAGTTTCATTGAAATATTATGAACATGAGAAACATTTTCATTAATTGATGAAACTGTTGCACTTGTAAAAATGAGTTTTACACGTGTATTCGGGTTCAAAACCATCTCAAGGCTAAAACAACAAGAATCTTTAAAATCATTTAAACTTTATAATGGCAAATAAAAAAAATGTTTATATAACCTTGAAATCGCGAACAGTAATTACATAAACAAAAATTGTATTTTTCTTAATCAAGTAAATTACTTCATTCAGATAATTTATTTATGTAATGTTTGTTTATTATATACAGCAATACCTCGCATAGTGCGGATAATCGCTTTAAAATCGTACTAATCAAAGAACTAAATACAGTGGAATCTCGCTTAACGAACACCTCGTAGCGACGTTTCGCATAACGAGTAACGATGAGAAGTCCCAGATTTCGCGTCTGCTACATCATTTTTAAAACTTGTATATAAATATTATGTGTATTTTTGACTGTGTTTCACAATACGAGTAAAAATCCGGAACATTTGGAACTGTAGTTCAGTTTATTTTTATGCTGTTATAAACACCTCGATTAGTCCGGTTTCAAACAATGCTGGATATTAGCCGCACTATGTCTGTACAAGGATAAAATGCAATAATTTATCTATAAAATAATATTTTGTGTAATATTTATTTAATTTTTTCCTCATAAATTTTATTTATATTTACAAAACGGATTACAGAAAATCCGGACTGATCAAAGCCGCACAATGCGAGGTATTGCTATGCACATGTTTTAAATTCTCATTATCGTGTATAAAAATAAGTATTGGAAGTGTTTAATTTGCATGTTTACATAAGAAATTAGTCGAGTTCTACGAAATGTTAAACAATCTCAGACTCAAAAACTTGGGTCAATGGACTTCTTAATACAAATCTTTGCAATTTTTTTTAATTTCTAGTATTTATTTACAATAGTAAATAAGCAATAATTTGTATATAATTGGGAATTAAGAGACCTCAAACTTTTCTTCATAAACAAATTAAATCTTTTTATGTTTTGGTTTTATATATGAGCATTAACTAGCATAATTCTTATAAGAATTTCTATTGAATTCGTTCATTTTTTATACTTGTAATTGCGTTTTAATTTAAGTTCGATAGTTTTTTTTAGATGTGAAATCTCTTTGATTAGTTTTATATTTCCAGTTTTTCATGTTCTGATCACTCCCGAGTTAATCTCGTATCTAAATTCATACCTAAATATCTTACTTTCGGTCCGTAATAATTATAATTAGCTAGGCAAGATTTTTATTGCTCAAAGAAATGAGCTATTCTAGGAATGACGTTAAATATAAATAGAATGTGAATGCTAAGAACATTACTGCTTCATGGTATATTTTTTCAACAAAATTTCCTTTTAATTATTGAAACAATCCTTATTATTCATAATTATTGTCAATTAATGGTTTCCTGCATTATACTACAGTTTCGAGTGTTTTCAGGTGATTTAGTCAAAGTCGAGGGCCCCCAAATAGTGTTAGTTGAGGGCCCTCAAACTGTAGTATTAATCGAGGTCCCAAGGCAGTGTTAGTCGAGAGCCCTCAAAAGTTATGAAAATTCAAAAGTATGAATAAGCAGGGTTCATACTTTTGAATTTTCATAAGGTGATAATTTACATTTCATTAAATATGTAATAAAACTAGTTCATCTATAAATTAAATTTTATTAAAACTCAGTTAATAAATACAAATTGTCGATTTTCTTCAAATATGTCATTTAATATTAATCTACTTGTTATTTCTAAGAATACTTATATATTTTATTTTGAGAAACAGTTGACCCAAATTTTAATACAAATCTTATATATAGAACTATTAACAAGCTTATTTTCCTACAGAAAGTGATTATTCTTGAATTTATTTGAACCAATTATCCTATTGAAATCACTTGAAATCAATATTTACGTTACGCAATAATTTCAATTTCTTCCTCTTTATTATTTCAAATGAGTTTTTGAACCACACATATAAACCTATAACTTTCTCTAATTATTTATAATTTCATTTCTCAAGTTGTTTTAACTTGAAGTTTTTGCTTTTAATGAATGTGAAGTATGAAAATAAAATACAAAATGCGGTTTGTTGAGAAGCAAACAATTATGATTACATTGCATAATACTATGAAATATTGAATCACATTTGTATTATTTAAATTTTCATAGTGCGATTATTGCTTATCCCGGACTATTGAAACCGAGGAACTCAAGTACTTACAAAACTAAATTGTATGTAGTATTTTTTTTTTCAATTAAAATATCGTTTATTTAAACTTTTCAATTGTCAATTCGGACTGATCGAAGCCTAACTTTAACTAAACAATAGCGAATATTTTCTTTAACTTCAGTGATTTAAGTTGTCATATTTTTTATTATAAATTTCTAAAAATAAACTTACATTTTACTAAAGCTTTGTTTTCGTTAACTTTAGGTATCAATTTGTCTTTTTACCTATTTCTAAATATAAATATAAAAAAATCTGTTACGTTAATAAAAATTCTTGAAGAAAATAAGAAAAAGAAATGTTTACCCTTTTCGAAATGTTTATGATGTACCCATAATTTTTTGCTTTCTTTAAATTCGGAAGCACCTTTAAACCCATTCGCTTCCAAGAATCAAATAACCTTGACCATTCTCAAGTGGATATCGAGATGTTTCAACCATATTTCGCAAAACTCTTCAAAACGTGAAATTATGTAACATACTTTAACTATAAATTTCTATTACAAAAAAATTAAATAAAACGAAAGTTTGAAATATTTATTTATATTTATTTTATTATATAATTTTGATATAAAATTTGATAGAAACAGAAGTAATATTTATAAAATAAAGAAATTCAGGAAAACTTTTAACACATTTGCATGAATTTATTGTTTACTTTGTTTTTTTTTTATCAATTGTGACTATCTGAAGAGTGTATTGACATTATCAACTTATTCAATGCAAAGATCAAAAAGAACCGACGCTTATAAAGCAGTTGATAAATATTTATATATTCTTTTGATAACGGTTTCACTGATAATTTAAAATTTTGCATATTTGAGCGAGGCAAAAATGTATTTAAATCCATTATGATAAATGGAAACACTTTGAATTATTTTAACTAATGATTTTTACTTATGTCCAATTTGTACAAAAAAAAATTGAAAACTTTAACCAGCAACAAGGAAACAATGAAATTAATAGCATATAATAAATCGTTTTTGCTGTGCAATTACGATGGAAACGAACATTTATTTATTGCCTCAATGTTAACATCTAGGAGCCGGATTAGAGAGCATTTTTCAATGCCATAAAATTGTGATGCAAAAAGCAAATAAGGAGATGAAAAAGAAAACTAAATAAACGGAATAACGTGATTTGTATAATTATCGTGTACTGACCTTTATCCTTGTATAAAGAGTGAAACACTTGGCAATAAACTATGTGCAAGGAACAGAAACGGACGATGCGAAATTTTAAACAAAACAAAAAATTAGAAAGAAACTAACGAAACAGCAGCACTTGTGTTACGTAAGAACTGTTCACGAAACTTGCGTATTATTTTGTTGTTGTTGGTTCGGTACAATTGTTGCTTTTATTTATATGCGTTAAAGTCACTTTGTTTAAAATTTGTTGTTGAGCCTTTTTGAAATTTGCGCGCGCGCGCGCTCTTCGTCTTGAATGTTGGTTGTGTTGTGTTGGATGGATACGATGTTCGTAGGAACGCGACTCGTCGCGAACTGAGCCTGGTATAGTTCGACTTCAGGAGTCTATGTTCGCTCTGCTCATCGGTATCTACTACTACTAACCTAGCTCTGCTTCCGATAGCTCTGGTCGCGGCAGCATCGTCTCATCCCATAACCAGACAGACGATCTCCGACTATGTCTCTCTCTAAGATTCGTCTGTATTGAATGGAACGAGGAAAAATAAATGATGGGATTCTCTCGGTCGCCTTGGGAATTATTTCTGGACTATAAATGTATGTGTGTGTGTGTATAATAGAAGCACGCGCCGCCTCCGATTTCCTATAGATACATATACAAAATAAATCAGCATCCCACCAATTCCCTCCAACCCAAATCAACTTTCGATTCATGCGAACCGATTTATGTTTTATGCAATCACCAAACCATTCAAAACGAGATCACATATTTGATGAAATCATTGATACTTTTATTTACAGAGAATTATTATCATTTGATCCATTATAAATGAAATTTAAAAAAACAATGCTTGTAATAAAGAGAACTATTATAATTATTGATTAAAAATAGAAAATCTAAGCTAGAATGATCAATTATAATTAAAATCTAATACATAAATCACATTAAACTTTATTATTAATTTCATCGACATAATGCGGATTATTGAAAATAGTGTTTGAAAAACAACGAAAAAATTAGTACACATTAGTTTTTATACATATATTATCGTTTTTACCCAATACAGTTTATGCAATTTGAAAGTCCTCGATTAATTCGATTACAAACACTAATGCCTCGTATAGTGCTGCATCGATTAGTGCGGATTATTTAAAGTACTTTTTGAAAATTTCAAAAAACAAAACTAAATTTACTTAAGCAAAAGAAAATTAAATTATAAAAAATTAGTACACAACAGTAGTTTTTATACGTAAATTATCATTTTTTTTTCTATGCAATTTTAAAGTCCTCGATTAATCCGGTTTCAAACAGTGCGGGATGTTCCTGCACTAAATTTATTCTTCTAATTAATAAGAGTTATTTAGATAATATTTAATTACATTAGTTAAATTATTACAAAATTGTTAATACATGTTACGCATAGGATTATTTTATAAAATTGTTACTTTTATTTGATTCAAACTCATAATTAAGATGGTAATTAAATTACTGATAATTTATTTTTTATTTGCATATTTTTTCTGTCCCTATTGTAGATTAGTTTAGAAGATTTGATAATTTATAATGCAAGCACATACATAAAATGATTATTTCATTTTGATATCATAATTATAATTTATTGGTATATTTATTTTCAATCAACTCTCTTAATAAAGCAATATTACGTAAAATAATTTGTTATATAATAAGAAATTAATTCAAATTATATAATAATATTGTAGGATAATAATATTATTAAAAGAAGTGAATGCAATTATCATACAATTTAGTGTTAATAATTATATTAGTTATACAGAATAAATTACATCAATTAGAAAGTATAAAATTATCACGTCCGTAATAAAGCATTATGCTTCATGGATAATTTTATTTGACACAAGAACTTTATACAATATTCTATAAAAAAAAATAGAACGCAAATAGACTACAAATTTTCAAACATTTATAATTATATCATTAATTCAAATTAATTAATTGCTCGTTGATAATCGATTATATTATATCGATAAGCTATTTTTGTTCAATTTATATTAATCAATAAAAAAAAATGTGAATTTAAATAAATTTATTTCTTTGCAAAAAAATATTATTTTTTATTTGTAAATTGCCATTCAAATTATTAATAGAAAAAGGTAATAAATTACTATTTTAGATTCAATTATTTTACAGTATTAACTTTGATTATATAATTTATATATTTTTAAATATTTGAAATCGAAGTTTTAATTTAATTTATTTGAAATTCAACTGCAAAGTTAATAATTCCGCCAATTTCCTGGACTGTTTGAAACCAATATAAAAATAAACATAGCAAAAAGAGATTTAATTTATATATTATAAATTTTATGTACTCATTTTTTAAAATTTATTTTAATTTTCTCAATTAAAATGTATTTACTGTTTAAATCCGTACTATACGAGGCATTACTTTAATAAAAATGCACGAATTACATTGCATTTTTTGCAATTGTTGTGAATAAATTGAATTTATTACTTTTACAAATAAAATATTTTGTTTATAAAATCAAAATGAAAGATTTAATCACATAGTTCAAAACGTAACTATACAAATTCCGTTCGTAATAAAGGAGTATTTAATTAACAAAGCTTATTACATAATGTATTTTTAATATTTAAAATTCTATGGTATTACACAAATCCTAAAAGAAATGTGCGCAAATAACATTAAATTTTAAAATGATTATATGCGGGTAGAAAGAATGTGGCTGAGTCTATGAAGAAGCACGTTTCTGCAAATTCTGAATTACAATACAGCAATATCTTACATTATAAGGGTTCGATCAGTCCGGATTTACTATAATCCGGTTCGAAATTAGAGAAAAAAAAGTTAATAAATTATAAAACATTTATTTATACGTATATTTAAATACTCGATTAGTCCGGATTCAAACCGATTATCCGCACTATGAGATGTATTGCTATAATTGTATTTTCCAATGCATGTTGCTTTGATTTCTCATTTTATAATCAATAAACTTGTATTTAACTGAAATATTATATGTGTTAAAGATTAAAATTGATTACATGATTCTTTGTTATCCGAATATTTGGATTATAATAAACGTGTGTGTATTTAAACTTAGAAACAAAGTAAGCGCTTTGGATTTACAACTTGACAAGAAAAGACACACACGCACGAAGGCGACGAAGTAATGGAAACAACGGTTCACGTTGTATAAAATATTTGATTCATTCATTCTAACTTACATCGATGGTCGAAGTGGTAAGATATCAAACAACTGTTACGTGTTCTGATTTCAAAAATGACTGCTACGTATTTCAATGACAGCAGGTTCGTTCGTTTCCAGCAGTTTTGTTTTATTTCTTGTGAGATGTTTGTTCAAAGACAAGTTTTTTTCGAACAAATCTCTTAACGTTTCGTTTTCTTTGAAGAAAGAAATTTTGCTGTACTCTGTTGAAAACTGTATATTTTGATAGTTTCATTTTACTGTTTTAATTAAAAAATTAAACATTTTCATACACAATAATAAAACAAAAATGTTTAACTGTTGGAAAGTGCATTTTTTATATTACATTGAAATTAATTAATTTGTTACATTTTATCATTACTAGAAACATTTTTTTTAAATTTAAACATACAAATTATTTATAACATAATTTATTTTGTGATAATTGTGTTTTGTAACGACAATAAGTGATAAAAACTGAACTCTGAAAGAAAATCTCTGAAATAATTGTAATCACAACACATGTAATATTGGAAAACATGTGTCCTTCTGAAAAGCTATTTCAGTTCGCCCAAGCGCAGGAACTTCCATCCCACAGATGTCTCTTATGTAAGCTCTGTTACATATAAGAGGCTGTTGCGGCGGTTCAAAAAGTGTCTGAAAATCCAGAATAAGCATACTTACCTGGCGTAGAGGTTACTGTGATCAACAAGGCAGTTCCTCCAGGGCGAGGCCTTTACCATTGCACTGCGGTTAGGGCTGACCTTTGCGATTATCCCTAATGTGGATAACTCGGGCGCGAAATTTTTGAGTGTCGGGACTGCGTACGCGCTATCCCGGCCATATTATATAAATCCAAACATAATTTACATCTACAATTTTTCATTATATTTATAGATATTTAATATCTATTTTTTAATGATTATATTTAATTTAGTCTCATTAATTTAGTTAAACTTTCGATTTTAATGTTCGAAAAACATAATATTGAAATTATTACATAATCAAGTTAATTTTGCTATTATTAAAGTGTAAATATATCTAATCTAATTATATTAAAAACCAAAAGTTACATAAAAACTTGTTTTTGTCAAAGACTATATTGTTGTTATATAAATACAAAGAATAAATAAATTTGTTGATAACAAAAAATATATATTTATAATAATTAATTTCAAAGTTATTTTAAGAAAAAATGGTAATGTTTCTTTTATGACATTTCATGAATTATTGGGGTGATATTTGTTAGAAGTTACAGCAATACCTCACATAGTGCGGCTTCTATTAGTATGTGTATACTATAATTCTGTTTGATACTTCAAAACAAACTAAGTAAAATAGGTTTGAAAAAAATAGTGTAGAAAAATATTTTATTAAAAAAAAAATGGCCACATTTTTATACAATCAAGGCTCTTGTTGAGTTGTTTATTTTTGTATGTATTTAGTTCCTCGATTAGTCCGGTTTCAAACAATTTTTTCCAACAATTGATTACCAGTACAATGCGAGTTATAGCTGTATATAGTCGCACTTTCTATTTTTAAGAATTTGATATTCAATGTTTTTACTTCAGAAAATTATCTACGTTTTATTGGAATTGATAATAAAAGATGGTTCAAACTCATCTAGGTTACTGATATTTCTTAAGTTATCAAATGTTAATAACCAAAGATGTATTAAGATTGTTGTGGGCCTATTGGTGCCTAGAAAGTAGATTCTAATTCAACATTTTTTTTGTAGATCCCCAAAAGTTTGGTAAACCCTATTTTCAAATACACCTGACCTGTTAATAACAACAATTGTTCATGATTTACAATATGAACTTTTCTGTATATTTATTGAAAAAAAAAATGGGCAGATCAAATGTTTATTAACAATTATCGAAATATACTTTTGTTATACATAATCTATTGCAATAAATTTAATAATAATTATTAATTACTGTACATTGCAAAGTTGTTTGTATATTTCATGAAAAAAAAATCAATGAAGATTTATTAAAATTTTGAAATCGTAATCAAACAAATTGATTTAACCTACTTTATAATAAAACCATTAATTCAAAAGAAGTTATTATAATACCTAAGTAAGATAACAATGTTCTTTTATATATTTATAAAGATGGACATCACAATTCCAGTAATCGATGACTCCACTTCTCTACCTTTCTTTTCCCTTCCAGCTATTATCCATTACTTCGATGAAAGAGTATCTAATCATTTGATTTATTGGAGTCCGGTGATTTTCGAGTTTGAATTTGTGTGCGGGAAGATCTTAATGAACGTGCGCGCTCCTTTCCTTTTCTCTCTCTCTCTCTCTTTCTGTCTCCTT